GCCTATCAATTATTGAAAAGTGTGTAATAATTTCATATTTAAAGTACTTTCAGAAGTTTGAACCCAGAATATGACCGGACATTTCCTTTAATGTCCCTCATTGCATTTCAGAAGGTGGAGGTAATGCACAGCAAAAGTTATTTTATATAAACACGAAGAAGAAGGACCTAGTTTCTTTAGCTCAGCTGGTTACCTTGGCAATGCGTAACAACAAGAGACATTAAATAGTCTAGTCAGCTGCTTTTTTTTTTAAACATACAATTTAAATAAAATTGCCCTTTAAGGTGTTCTTTGTCAGAAACAAGTGGACTTTGCAGAAGGGACCATTCTAGTGAATAACACTCGTGCAAAAATGTTTGCAATTTTATCATGAGGGTTAGAAAAGACAATCAAATAGCATAAACAATATTTCTTATTCAACATCAGTTTGCTGGTTAGCAATACTGTTGGATTAGGATTAGAAATAATTGTTTAAATAATTCAAAGTTATTTATTTTTTCTTTTTGTTTAAATTTTTTTTTCCATCTAGAAATAATGCCCTGTATGAAGCCTAAACAGCAAAATAGAATTAGTATAAATATGCCTGAGAAGGTCTGTGAAAATAATTGTTTGGCCTGCTCATCATCATGGGCAATCAAGACATATTCATTGATAACACTTTAGGAGCTATGTTGACGTAGTTTGTCTTATTCAAATACCCTAAATATGGTTTGATAATACGATTATAAAATATACAGGATTAAAATAACAAGGATAAGAAGACTCCTTATGGTTGCTCCGATGCAATGTTTAAAAGAAAATAAATCTATTAAATAATTGGAGTGCTCTTTTTGTTGCCAGCCACTTCTAAAGCAAATGTTTTTTCCACTTCTGCTCCTCACTTACATTTCGCTGTCATGATGAAATTACCTGTTTGTGCCTGAGCTTGTGGCCCAGTGCCTGATTATGTCATTTTATTAAGGTCATGTTCATGAAAACCGCAATTTGCTGCCAAGAAAACAAGATAACCTGTGTCTGTCCCACTGCTGGCCTGTGAAGAGAGGCAATCTTCACCTGTCCGCCTTTAGCCATTATCCACATGAGCAGATGGGTGACTGCAACTTTCTGACTGCTCACATTATGATTTTCAGCCTTAGAGTACCATATCTAATGATGCATGTTCGAATGATATCAGTTATTTTATTATTTTGTGTGTAGAACACGATTCTTTAGATACTTAAGGGATATTATGTTGGTTTATTGTATTCTCCACCTTATTTCAACTTTGTAAATTCACATGATTCAATTAGGATTACACTAAAAGTTTACACTTACCCAGTTTTCACATTCCCAAGGAACCCCATGCCCCTTTAGGATCCAATAAAAGTCACAGACCACTGAGGGTAATTGCAAGATAAGGGGGCTCAAAAAGATTTCTGAACTTCAAGGGCTAAATCCGACACATGGTGTTATCCCTCGGTAAATCAAAGAATCATTGAGAGCAGATTCAAATTTGATGTCCTGAAGGACTGCAGCATTTTTTGTACAAAAAAGTGTAATTTATCATTGTATGAGGTGACCCAATCAGGTAATACCTGTTTTTGAAAAAACTAAAAATAACTTTATCTGCTATTTCTCTATTTCAGTTAATCAGTAAACATTTTGCATTTTTTAAATGACATAACTGGATCATGTGTTTTATGAGCCTAATTAGTCAGGAAACTAAAAAGGGAAATGTTTGAATTGTTTGAGCTTGAGACAATAAAGAGGGGCATGATTACAAGAGACTATTACCTGTATTTATAAACATAATATTTGGTATTTAAATTGAATGATCAGTGCAACCAGAAAAGGAGGCTTAACTTGAAGTATCCTCCTGAAGTGCGCAACGATGTTAATAAGAAATGTTGATGTAACTAAACAAACAGGTTATTTAGTTGCAAGAAATAGACAACCAAATGCCATTATACACACACACACACACACACACACACACACACACACACACACACACACATATGTATATATAGTGTTGTGCCTGA